TATTTATGAGACATGGGGTGGTTGGATGAGAAGGGTATTACATGGTCAGTCTGTGTAGGTTACCTATAGATACTGAAGTCGAAGTGGTCATTTAATCTGGTAATGGTGAGATCAAGAAAATTGATTGACATGGAAGATTCTAGTTCCATGGTGAACTTTATATTGGGAAGACCTACTAAGGAAGAATATGCTACGCCTACTCCTAAAATATGCTACGCCTGTGACACCAATATAACTGTAGGCCACATTGTTATCGACTGTCCATTACATCAAATGGAAAGACAAGCTACTGGACTACCAAGTGATATAAAGTACGCTTTAGACAGTGCGGATTGTGACAAAATCATTAGGTTTGTAAAGAAAACGAAATTATATAATGAAATATAAGTGATACTTCAAGAAAAATTCTAAATTATAATCAACTTTGTAAAAACTTTATAGTTTATATTTCATATTAATTATTATAATATATTATAGACTATATTGTACCACCGCTAATAACCTTCTATGGTTGATGAGGGTTATTCCCAATAAAATAAAGAAATAAACCAAATGTAACAAAGGTCAATTATTATCGATACTGTCTGTATGAACTGCACTATCTGTTAGTAAAATCTGTAAAGTCTTGGAATATTTAAACGCTTTTCGAAAACAAGTAACATCTGTGATGCAGAGACTTCAGTCGCACAAAAGCGCTGGGAATATAAGGACCCTTACGCTAGCGGGGACAAATGAGCGAAATCCAATTTAACGTACGTAATATTTTTTCACCAATTTTTCACTAATTTATTACCACCCTAATAATTTTTCACCACCAAACCAACCTTAAGGGGAGCACATTCTGCTGAAAAATTATTAGGGCGGTAATAAATTAGTGAAAAATGGGTAAAAAAAATATGCCATAAGCAAAAAGTTTTTTTCCGAATTCTGCTAGCTTGAACCTTAAGCCAGCAGAATCGCTCCCATTGAGGGTGGTTTGGTGGTAAAAAATTATTAGGGTGGTAATAAATTAGTGAAAAATGGTTGAAAAAATATGACGTAGGTTAAATTGGATTCCGCTCATTTTTCCCCGCTGGCTTTTACTCAAACCAATGGTTAGTACCTCTGTTGTTAGGAATATAATTTAGAAAACCCCTAGCCACTGGGGCTAATTAGTTTTTATATTTATATTTGTTTTGTTATTGCTAATGTTCATATTTGATACTAAATCGACGAAAATGCGAAATCGAGAGATAATGCTGCCAATTAAATTGTGGCTAAAACTGATTGCGGATAAAACAGCTATCCTTAAAGACTGGAAGATTATTTTAGTGAGTTACTGAACAATAATCAAAAGAATTTGTTTCAGATTTTAAAGCAATATCGGACAGGTTCATCGTATCTATAGAAAATGCGAAGCAATCATCGGAGACGATCAGTTTGGATTCAGAGCCGGCATGGGAACAAGAGAAGAACGAGAGAACGAGAGAGTTTACTAGTTCTCGCCCAAAAATGCTACGACCAACAGAAAGATATATTTATATACTTTATAGACTTCGAAAAAGCATTTGATAGAGTAAGACACGACCTACTATTAGAACGTTAGCAAGAAGTCGGTTTAGATGGAAAAGACATTAAATTCTTAAAAAACTTTTACTGGAACTAAAACGCCAGAGTTAGGATCGAAGGTTCCACATCCGCAGAAGTAGAAATTAGGAGAGGAGTTATACAAGGATGTGTTCTGTCGCCTCTGCTGTTTAATCTTTACTCCGAGTTTCTATTTAAAGAAGCATTGGATAATTTCAAGGATGGAGTCAAGGTGAATGGCGTAAATATCAACAGTATCAGATACGCCGATGATACAGTGTTAATTGCGGATTCCGACTTAGGTCTACAACGATTCATCGACAAGACCAACTCAACCTGTGAGCAATTTGGTATGAAAATAAACATTAAAAAACCAAAGTGATGTCAATCCGAAAAAAACCAAAACGTACCTCAACCTTGCACAATAAATGGGCACATTTTAGAACAGGTCAATAGAGTTAAGTACCTGGGATGTTGGATCGATAGCAGCCTAAATCCTGATCTAGAAATAAGATCGAGAATAGAACAGGCCAGAAAATCTTTCGAAAAAATAAAAAAAACTGCTTTGTGATTCTCGAATAAAACATCCATTGAAACGTGGACCCTTAAAACATCAACTGTAAATAAATTGGAGGCCTTTTAAATGTAGATCTACCGGAGAATACTCAAAATTTCATGGACATCGCATACCTCAAACGAAGAAGTGCTGCATAGAATAGGATAGGAAAGAGAACTTTTTAACACAGTAAAAGTTAGAAAAACATCATACCTAGGCCACATACTGAGAAATAATAACTACCAATATGCCCAACTAATAGTGAACGGAAAAATCGAGGGAAAGAGAGGCCTAGGAAGGAAAAGACTATCGTGGCTAAGAAACATCCGACAATGGACAGGGCTAAATTTTGAACAGCTAATAGTAACAGCTGAAGAAAGACAGGTTATGCACTCTTAGAATAAAAAACAAGCCGAATACACTAAAAGAAATTGGATGGAAACGTTAAAAGAAGATCTGAAAGTGTTGAGGTACAAGGTTGGAAAGACGTTGGGCAGAAAGCAATATAGAAAGAAACGTGAAACCTTTGACGTCTAATGCCTGCTGAAGTGAATATATAGTTGTTTAACACTTGTTTTAAATTATATAATTTAATTTTGGTTTAAATATCGAACCATTAAAGAAAAGTTTAATCAATAATGTGAACAAAATTAAGTAAAAAATATTATTGTGACAATATGAAAAATATTGTACTAGTTAACCAAAACGTGCCAAACGAGTGATATTAATATATTTAAACACTTACCTAACTATTTTCCAATCCTCTTAAAAATTCACAAATCCGATTTGCCACTTGAAACGATTCACATGCCACGATGCTAAAACTGCACACTACTGGACTGGACACAAAAATAACTGTTAAGTCTCCAGCAAGTCTGACGCTTTCAATGATCATTTTTATGGCTTGTCGGCAGTTATATTAATCTTTTCGTGAGGTGAACTATTTAACTAAAAAAATGGATTGCAATGATTACAGTTAACTATTATTTCGCGCATAAAAGAATGATGCAATTTTATATAGTTTGAACGAATGTTAGTTTTGTTCTTGAGAAAGACGGTTGACCTAACTATTGTCTATTTCTAATTTGCTGATGTAGTTTTATTCGAGTACATATTATGTGTTACATTCATTAGTCAATATAGAGAATATAGTTCAGATTTAAGATTAAGATAGTAGATTTGTGGGTTTTAATTTTTTAAAGGTCGTTCGTAATGTAGTGTGTGTCACACTGAGACGAAAAAATGTTTTTAGTTTTTATCCACAAGGAAACTAAGTTCCTGTATACCATGTATCACAAAAAATTTATTTAAAACCCTTTATAAAAGGTATATAATCAGTGGCGGCTCGTGGCTTGAGAGACAAGGTCGGCAAGGTATTTTTTGTCTCCTTAGATAGGTATACCGTCTAATAAAGACTTCAATCAACATAAGAGATTTTTTGTTTTCTTGTTTTTTGTTTTTTTTTTTTTTTGTTTTTTCCTATAAATTTAGAACCCAAACATGTTTATAAATTAACTCTAGTCTACGTTCTTGAAAGTAGCAAAATGGGTAATAACGTCATCGTAAAATTTATTAGAGTTTTGGAGAGATTTTAAAAGTTTTTTTTCTATTGACATTTGTGACAAGCTTGACGTTCTCTCTTGTTTCATGGTGTTTCGACAATACGTTTTGATTCTTTTGAGACAAGAGAAATCTCGTTCATTTGAGGCAGACGTTGGTGGTAATGAGAGAATTAATGACAATAATTTATTAATTTCGGTAACAGTTTGTTGTAATGAATTGCAGTATATAAAATTATACATATCTTGTAACGTATCCCATCTTCCGAAAATATTTGGATCAGCATATAAAACTTTTAATTCATTTTCTAATTTTATTTTATTAAAGAATGATGGATAATTTTACATTAACCTATCTAATAAATATCTTGGAAATTTTTTGGCGTAACTTTTAAATTTTGAATCGTCAAAGAGGTCAAAAATTTGCAAATCTTCAAAATTCGAAAAACGAGTATCTATTTGCATAATAATAGTATCCAAAATTTCAAAATATACTCGTTTTTCAAGATCTGTTTCTGTGTCATGCCTTTGTCTTTTTTTGGGGGGGGTTCGGAAATATCAAGCGAGTCCAAAACGTCACTGCGTATATACTGGAAATCACTATCATTACGAAAATCTCTGAGATTTTGCACCAGTCTTGTTATTCTATTTTTGGAATGAATAATGTCAGTTTACTGATTTTGAACAACATTGAATATCAAATCGGTTTGCGTAAACACTTTCTTAAAAATATTTAAAAGTATGTTAAAAGAGTAATCATTTAATAAAGTTTTTAAACCGATTGCTTCACGGATCGAGATATCATCACTTTTAAAATCGTCACATTCAATAATAAAATCAAAAGCTGTTCACGAAAATCTGCTAAAGTGAAAACTAACCGAGATTTAAAATTCCATCGCGTCTGACAAACTGTTGGCATTTTTTTCGAAACAAAACTTTTTAAAACATTAGTCCGTTTGGGCGAGCTTGAGAAAAATGAAGCAAATCCGCTTAAACTGGCAAAAAAAAGACGACATTCTTTAATTTTTTTACATGTATCCTGCAAAACTAAATTCATTCTATGCGCATGACAGTGAGTAAATAAAGCTTGCGGTGCAATAGTTTTAACTTTTGCCTGGAGACCATTTAATTCACCAGACATCACGGCAGCGCCGTCATAAGTTTGCCCTACCAATTTATTTTTGATATCAAAAAATTTTAATCTCTCCTTTAAAACACCAAAAATATATTCTGCCTTCTGGATTTTACTTACGTCTGTAAAACCTAAAAACCTCTCATAGATATTACCACGTAACGCGTATCGAACAACAATTGATAAATTATTGTGAATGACATGATATGTCGGTAGTTTCATCGACTTCTGGTGAAAAGCAAATGGTTTCCGGAATATCAGATTCAATAACGTTACTCAAAATGTGACTAATTGATTCTATCAATTCATTCTGGATTGTTTTAGATACACCGCTAAATGTCTTAGAATCAGAGAGTAAATTAGAAAATTTCAAATCGTATTTTTTAAACATTTTTATTAGCTCTCTATAATTACCTTGATTTACCGAATATTCCGATTCTTCGTGTCCCCTAAGATATTTCCTGACAACTTAAAAAAAATACAATAACAATTAAACGACGTAAAACTGCGTGATTATTTTTTACAATTTCGTTATGTTTAATAGCATTTTCACGTTGGTCATTATCTAATGAGACATAGATATTTTGTTTTCCGAATAAATCTAATTTAATCTGGCTGTGAGTATGATCTTTCGAAATATCATGTTTATGTAAAGCCCTAAATAATTATTCCTTTAAATTATCGTAACCAGATTCACACCACGGATTTTGATGTTTGCCCCTATTTGTCGAAAATAAAATGCAAGGCCAATAATTGGTACTTGCTGTACCAATTATCTGAAAATGATCTATTACTTCCCTTACCCGCACTAATATTTATAAGCCGGGACATTTTAGGCAAAGGACGCCCCTTATTTTTAATAACAGTTTCTCCCATGGCTTGCATTTTTTAGGTTAATTTACCTGAATTTGTTTACACTTTAATTTAAAAAAAAACTTCTAATATGTCAAAAAAACCCTTTAACCTTTAACTACTTACGGCAGACGTAACGTATCACTGTATTACTTTAGATAATAAAAAAAAATCACAAAAAGAAAGGCTAGTTCGTGTACTGAATATCACTTCACTTTACTGCTTACATTCTTATATGAAATAACATTTCATCCCGCGCTCGCAATGTACAGTTCGCGACCAATCACCAATTCAAATGAAACATCGGCAAATTTAAATTTGCCTTACTTGGTAATTAAGTTCATATGGAAAGAAATGTATATTTGGTTGCTAATCAACTAATATTCCATTTGTTTCTACAAGTAAATCGTAAGGTTGGAATTGGCTTGCCGAAAAAACAAAACGTGCCTTTTTAAGAATTCACAGGCGGATGAATGTCTCCGATATCGAATATTCTATTTGAAAAGTGTCTACGCAGGGATCACTTAACGCTCAGATTGGACGAATTCTTTTACAAACCATGAATTGGTCTAATTATTTTAAAAACCATGAATAAAATTTAGACTTTATTATATCACAGATATTTTTTTATTTCACAAAAACAAATGACATCAACTGATTACCTGGCACAATTATTTATTGAAATACTGATTAAATTAAATATTATTAAAAAATCTATAATGTCTATAAAGGTGTGGGTCGGCACTGCCGACCCTGCCGACCCTGACCGTGTATATAATGCCACTGTATATAATTAAAACACCCAATCGGACTATATGACAAAACATTTTCGGAATCCATTTTCCGTCATCAGTGTGTCTAGGTACACATGTTTTGAGCCACTAAATATTTGGGTAAAAACCCATTAAAAGTTATTAGTTTAAATTTAGGTTACATTATTCGATCTTATATGTTAAAATTACCAGTGAATTTAATAGCATGGCAACGTATCTTAGAGTGTGGCAGGCAGCCAAACTCTAAGAGAAATGAACAAAACTGTTTTGAAGCCAATCAGGAGAAATTTAAGAAGATTAAAAATCGATGATAGTAAACGTACTATACAGGAAAATACAGCTTCAAAGTCCTACGTTGAAAGCTAACGAAAGGGGAAATCGGAAATTTCGCATTTAACGATAAGCATTAAAAAAAAATGAAAAATAACAAAGCCCCAGAAGAGTATGGAATTGTAATAGAAGCTATCGTAAGTGAAGGAGATATGCTAATAAATCAACAAGGGAAACTGTTTAATCTATGTTTGAAGCAAAAGAAAGTTGCCCAAATAATAGATCAATGCTGTAACCATTCTTTTTCATAAAAAAGAAGATAGAACGGACCTAGAGAATTATAGACCTATTAGCCTGTTCCACATATATAAGCTCTTCACTATGGTAGTAATATCAAGATTATAGAAAAAATTAGATTTCTACCAACGAGAGAGCAGACAGGATTCCGATCAAATTATGGTACCAATGATCACCTCCATACAGTAAAGACGCTCATTAAAAATCTATAGAATACAACAAACCTCTTGTCATAGATTTTCATAAAGCGTTCGACACGATCGAAATAGACAGCCTTATAGAAGCAATGAATGGCAGGAGATTGACCATAGGTATAGTAAACTTATTTACAATATTTACAAAGATGCCACTATGACTGTTAAGATACACGATAAAACCCGACAAATAAAAATAAAACGTGGGAGAAGGCAAGGAGATACATTGTCACCGAAATTGTCAACGGCATTAGAGTATGCCTTTAAGATGGTCAATTGGGACCGCAGAGGAGTAACAATAGTCGGAGAAAAACCTAACCATCTCCGTTTCGCAGATGGCATTGTCCTTATCATAGATAATTTAGGAGAAGCCACAGATATGTTAAATGAATTGGACTTTGCATGTTCGAAGGTAGGCTTCAGAATGAACTTATCTAAAACTAAGTTTATGACAAATATGGTCCCAAATAACCATTTAACTGTTCAAAACAAAGTGGTAGAACTGGTGGAGAAATATACGTATTTAGGTCACGAAATAAGAATCAGCAGGGCTAACAAAACATGCGAACTACAAAGACGAATTACTATAGCGTGGGCAGCCTTTGGAAACCTGCGAGACATACTTAATGCCAACATAATAATTAGCCTCAAAACAAACGTATTTGACTAATGCGTATTACCGGTCATGACTTATGGGGCGGAAACTATGACTCTAACCAAGACTATGGCTTCGAAATTGGGAGTGTCACAGAGACGAACGGAACGGTCTATGCTAAGAGTGACGTTGCGGTACCCAATAAGAAAAGAAGATCTGCAAAGAAGGACGAGTATTGCTGATGTTGTGGAAAGCTTAGCGGAACTAAAATGGAATTGGGCAGGCCATGTAGCGAGAATGCATGACACATGATGGACGAGCAAAATTACACATTGGAGGCCAATAGCGGAACATAGTAAAGGAAGACCACCTACACGTTGGGCTGACGATATCAGGCGTATCACCAAAAATTGGCAACAAAGAGCACAAAATCGCAAAGAATAGAGGAGTTTAAGGGAGGCATCCTAACAAACTAAGGCTTAGACTTACCCTCCCAATACATCAAAAAAATAAAATTGCGTTCTCTAAGAAATGCACGCTAAGACATAAAAAATGTAACATTTCGATGGACTACAAGGCCAGGTACTTTTCCTTTCTTCAACTTTCTTTTGCTTCTTATTCATGTATTCTTATTGTTTTAGATATTGTCACACCTTTATATATATTATGGATTTTTTTTAATACTTATTTTAATCAGTATTTCGATCATTAATTGTGGCAGGTAATAAGTTGATATTATTTGTTTCTGTGAAATAAAAAAATATATGTAAGATAATAAAAACTAAATTTTATTTATTGTTTTTAAAAGAATTAGTCTAATTCGACCAAACTAAATTTTATTCATGGTATTTAAAAGAATTAGTCCAATCTGAGCGGTAAGTGATCCCTGCGTAAGACAATTTTCAAATTATTGAATCGAAATCCGAGACATTCATCCGCCTGTGTGAATTCTTCAAAAGACTCGTTTCGGGGTTTCGACAAGCCGATCCCAAGCATGACGATATACATGTAAAAATTAACGGAATATTAGTTGATGAGCACCAAACATACATTTCTCTCCTTACGCATTTAATTGCCAAGTACGGAAAATTTAAATTTGCCGATTCCTCGTTTTAATTGCGATTTAAAACTATAGCTTGCGAGCGCGGGATGAAATGTTATTTCGAACTGGATAAGTATTTAAGAACCTAAGTAGTAAAGTGATATTAAATACACGGACTGGCTTTTCTTTCTGGGATTTATTTTTATTTTCTAAATTAATACTGTGATACGTTACCACTGCGGTAAATAGTTAAAGGTTAAAGGGTTTTTGATATATTAGAAGTTTTTTTAATAAAAGTGTAAACAGATTCAGGTAAATTAACCTAAAAAATGCTATAGATAAATTCACATTCAGATGGCAGCGTTACAGAGATAGGCCTGTACTTTCTATATGCCAGAAATAACTACATTGTTGTCAGTTTTTAATCGTACCTACAATCGTACGTTATGGGCCGGCTCCTATAAAAGAATTATAATTTCGGAAATATTTATGAATGTGAAACGGAAAAATACTACATTTTTTTAATTATATAATTTTTCTGTTGGTATTTTAAAAATAGAAAGTTATATTTCGGAAATCTGGTCTTTTCGGAATTATATCTTCTGTTCAAAATTGTTTACAATTCGTGGAAATGAAATAATTATTTGTATAATCCGTTTTTGATCTTAATGTCCTTTTAATGACACACCTTCTCTACCTGCATTTACAGTTACAGACATTAAAAAATAATTTAGAATTAAAAAAATATACCTATTTATAAATTCAAAATTATTGTCTAATGCCAGCAATTATAAATTCAGGTAAATACTTGAAAGTCATTAAAAGAATTTTCAGTTGATATCAGACGTTTGTGTCGTGTCAGTGTCAAAATGGCCTCGAGTGTAATAAAATTCAAAAACGGTAATTTGTTAAATAGTGAATGCAAAAAAATAGTGTTAAATGTTTTTAACTATTTATCAAACAGTAATAATGATAAAAGTGTATCAAAAATAGTGCGGGAAGTTTCTGCTATGACTGGAGTCTCTGAGCGAACGATATTCCGATATAGAAGTGAAAGTAAAAATGGTCCACTCGTAACTCCTATAAGAAAAAAAAGAACCGGTTAATTGAATAGTCGTGAGAATAGATATGATGAAGCAACTCGGTCTAGAATAAGACAAGTAGTGCACGGTTTTTTTATGGACAATATTCCTCCAACCCTTGACGTAGTACTAGAAAAAATTAAGCAAATGGAGCATCTTCCGAATTTTTCCAAGAGTACGTTGAGAAGACTATGGCACGATATGGGTTTTATATATGGCAAACAAGGTAGAAATTCAATATTAATAGAAAAACAAAAAATAGTCGCTTGGAGGCGTCACTATCTCC